TTAAGTCTCTCTCAGATTCTCGTTCCCTCCTATTTTCTTTGAGATTATAAATCATTTCTGAATATAATTAAATCGGAAATTCTCATTTTTAACTTGACCGTTAAAAAAAAGAAAACAAAAAGAACGAAAAAGTAGACCGATCCATTTTTCTTAAAATCAAGTTAAATCAATGAAACTCATGAATGTATCGGTCTAAAACATTTAAACTCGTTAAAAGGAAAATGATTAGATCAATCCCGAGAAGAATATCCTTTCCAAGTGGCACTTTTATGGATTTCCAAACCCATCATGACTTCAATTTACATCAAACTCAAAATGAAGCTTCAAGAGCCTTTTACATTTCATAAAATATAGGAGAACAATCCATAGGGAGCATCCTTTTGTATCTCCAAAAATCATACCATTATCAAAGCCCTTCAACTTCAATTCTAATCAAAAGCTCACGGGTAAGACAATAAGGGAGGGGAGAGCCCACGGGTAAGGCAGCAACCCAAAACCAAGAATCAAATCCAGCTTAATGAATATGAAGCTTCACGACTAAGGCAGCAACCCAAAACCAAGAAAGCTCACAAACAAACTCACAAATAGAATTATGGAGAAGAACAAAACATCCAACTATTTTTCTCAACAAAACCAACGGAGCTCAGTATAAGGGGCAAACCGAAATCAGTAAAAAGGAGCAAACCAACAAAAATATTTCAGCTCACATAAAGCACTAAAAGGAGTCCAAACTGAGCCCAATAACATGGCCACCCGACCCCCGAACGTAATTTTCAGCTCTAAGAAAAAAAATTTCCAGCATATATTCCATCAAAGGGGCAACAAGAAAAAGCAAAATGTGAGCCCCGAATGTAATTTTCTAACTTTAAAAAATGATTTCCAGCATGTTTTCCATCAAGGGGCAACAATAAAAGCAAAATATGAGCCCCGAATGTGATTTTCCAACATTTAAAAACAACTCCTAGCATATATTTCGACAAGGGGCAGTAAGAAAAGCAAAATGTGAGCCCCAAATGTAATATCCAACATTTAAAAATAACTCCCAGCATATATTTCAACAAGGGGCAGCAAAAGGAGCAAAACATAAGCCCTAAATGTGATTTCCAGAACTTAAAAATAAATTTCCAGCATATATTTCAACAAGGGGCAGCAAAAGGAGCAAAACATAAGCCC